GAGTGTTGAAGACTGACTTAGGATTTGTAAAGCCCTTGGGTCAAGGGCTGTAAAGACCCCACAATAACACTAGCTCTTAGCTCATTTGCCAAACAAAAACAACCCGTGGGGCAGAGGTGGAGGAAAGATGGGGATTCAGCAAGCCACTCCGCACAGCTCCAGGGCCCTTCCCTAGGTTCTCTTTGATGACTGTCACCTGCATTTCCTACAGAAGGATACTAGGCTCATCAGAGGCTGCCTGGAAACAGGGACAACTGTAGAGCCATGACATAGAAGGAAGCCCCTCCCCATGTTGTAAGTTTACACATGTGCATAAGACAACGGGCAAAACCCATACTGTCCTCTTGGGATATTGTCTGTTCCTGGAGTGCCTATGATGACAGCTGGCTACGATGGGGCCCCCCAGTGGCCTGAGCCCTGCCCAAACCTCCTGTATGCTGAGTAGCACCCCTGGACCATTCTGAAGGTCCAGGCAGGCCTGAGACGAAAGGTGACTGTGCATTTGCCAGGCCCCTGCAGGAAAACCAAGAGCAGGTGCATGGAAACCTACAGCAATGAGTCACCCACCTTTCCATCTTATATTCTGTTCCTGTGTGTGTCATTGTTATTACCAGTCTCGCAGGACAGGACACCTACAAAACTACCAGGAGGGAGAGCTTTGTCTCCACTCTGCCACCACCTAGTCCAGCCCCAGTGCCCTCCTTCCATGAGCCAGGAACCTTCCTCTTCCTCCACCTCAGCTCTGGCCCCCTCCTCCCTCCAGAAGTGAGACAGCTGACTCGTGTCTTGAGGAAGGCCATTTATTTCCAAGATATAGACTATACTTTTAAGACAGGACTTTTCAGAAGCAGAAAATCTTAGTTGTCACTAGGGAGGTGTGTCAAGGACACAGTGAAAGGAGACATGCGAGCGGATGTGGGGCTGGAGGCTTATCCAACACTGTTACAACACTTCTTTAAATGAGCAAAACATCTTTAAAAATCCTTATAAATTCTTTATAATATGTTACACATTTAGAGACAATATTTACAATAAAAGAAAGGGGGAGGGGGAGGGAGGAGGGAGAAATCTACTTTACAGCAAATCTTTGCATAAACCAAGAGGACTGACAGATGTGGCAGCAGGGCTGGTCTCTCCTGGAATGAGTGAGGGTGTGTGCAGGAGGCCTGGTGAGTGCGCGGGGGGCCTGGGGACCCAAAGTCTATTTACAATGTGGGGAGGAGAAGGGGCTGGGTCCTGCCCATACTGGAGGAACAGCCCAGGTCAGACCCCTGTAAATCAGTGTGTGTGTGTGTGTGTGTGTGTGTGTGTGTGTGTGTGTACGTGTATGTGTGTGGTGTGTGCGTGTGTGTGTGAGAGAGAGAGAGCGAGACACACATACACACCAGGGATGTTTTCTGCTCCCTCAAAGGGCCTAAGGTAGGGGCCCGTGTGCCTGAGTTGTGGAAGAAGCAGGCACAGCTGGAAGAATAAAGAGAGGGGGCATGGGAGGTCTAGTGGGGGATGCTTGACCCTCCCCAAACTGGAGAATGGGCAGCTCTCCATGGTCAAAGTGCTTGGGAGTGATTTAGAGGTTGGCAAAAGGTTGGTGGGGGACTGATCCTGGTGAGAGTTTGTCCTGCCTCTGTGGAGTGGCCCCAACCCCCTTCTATGGCTCTGACAAACAACAGGGGGAAGGATCCCTGTGTGCACCAAAGGCAGGGAGCCCTGGTGGGGAGACAAGGAAGCAGGGGTGGCAGAAGTTGCTACTGGAAACACCTTTGGACAGTGACTACACACACTCGCACACACAACCCCCCTCCCATGGACCCCACCACCTTACCTTTCTCCCCAGACATACATAAACAATACCTCCCCGCCCCCCACATACACACACAGTCAGGAGCTAATGGGGTGGGGTAGGAGAGAGTAAAGAAGTGAAAAGCCAGCATCACCCAGTGCCCTTCCTTTAGTCTGAGACTTGGGGGTTTCCTATTTACACCCCATGGCCAACAGGAGTCCCTAAGTGTAGACACAGAAAGACCCAGAAGGGCATGCTGTCATTTATCCAGGGGATACGGACCCCCAGCAGCCTATCCCCTCTCCTTACCACCAGAACCCCCTCCTTCTCATTCACACTGTCCTCCCACCCCCCATCAATTCCAGTACACAAACTGGAGACACGGCCTCAGCACCAGATGCACCCAGGGGCAACAGAAGAGGGGGTGAAAGCCAGAGGAGATGACTTTCCCAAAGGGCGCTGAGTGGGGGAAGGGCAGTGCGGGGAGGGGAGGTGGCTGGTCACAGACACTGATGGAGGCGGGAGGCTGTAGATCGGCGCGAGGGCTGGCTCTGCAAGGCTCCCAGGTCCCTGGGCGCGGGCGGCAGCGAGGCTGCGGACGACGCGGCTCGCGCCTTGGTGGACTCCAGGCTGCTGAGTCCCGAGTCTTTGTTATCACTGTGCGCCCGAGGGACCGCGGGCTCCGGGGGGCCCCCTCCGCCCAGCTCCTTCCACTCGTTGAAGTTGAGGTCGGTCAGTGGGCTCTGCAGGGCCACTGTGTGGCGGCGCCAGCTG